TCTTTTACTCCAAGTGCTTGATGATCATTACCTAACACTTTGTGGTAAAAAAAAAATAGAACTTGGTTCGAATCAAGTCTCTTGTCTATTTTAATGAAGCAGATGTGATATTGAAATATTTTAACATTATCTTGAAAAATTTTGTTGTGTTACTTTGATAGGTTTATCTTTTTTTGTGGGACGGAATATATCCCTTGTAAGGGGGACTTGAGACTATTCTTATCTCTTGGCCAGCTTGGGGTGATACTGTATCAAGTATCATAAAGTCAGATCCCTTATGTCAAAGCCTGACTTATTTCACCACTCATTTTTTCCCAGGCTGCCAAACGGAGAGCAATACAGAAGAGCTTTGACTTGGATCAAGAGAAACTGAACCAAAGCAGAGAGCTGGAGATGGTGAGGGGTCAATTGGATGATTTGACGAGACTGAAACGGAAAAATGAAACAGAACTTAGCTCTCTTAAGGTAAGCAGTGTCATTTGTCTTATTTTGCAGATGGAAATTCTGCTTAATTTGGAGATAAGAAGTGAAGAACTCTTGTTTTGTAAATTGATTCTGATAGGATGTGACATCTACTGTTTTACACAGTTGTCTTAGATAATATGGAGGTTCACTATGGCTTTCAGTTCACATTCAAGGTTGATTTGGTGCTAAATTATCAATTGAAAAATTGTTGTTATCTTTAGGCAGACAAATATGTCATGAACAATTTGAACTAGGTCCTGAACACGCGCAATTAGTAGAAAAGGAATTAGAACGGGACTCTTAAGCTATGGAGGCCACTAAACTTTGGCTGCCATTTTCTCGCTAATTTTACCTCTGAAACAGGTGTCCCTGACCTCCTTCCATCGCGGATATCTCGACTTCTATATCGTGGATATCTCGACTTCTATTCAAGATAGATGGGTATTTCATTCATCAAAAGCAAGATGATACCAATAACTCCATTTGCCCAAAATTTAATGAGCGCCTGATTTCAGCGCATCATAATAAATGCTACTTCTTTCCTGTCTATCATAAGTTTTCATATAAGTATTGCATGGGTGATAGGTAGCTTGAGGTTGGGCTGCTCTTTTCTATAATAGTCTATATATATCGTATTGAGAGTTAGTCTGGGCATCATGACTTATGTTTTGATGGTTGTGTCCATGTCTGTCATCAGTCACAAGGCAACAGGGAAGCCAAAGCAGGAACCAGTGGCTCAGCTGACAAAGCTGCAGATGTAGAACTGCTGAAGCAGCAGGTAGGTGCAGTTACGTGTAGCTGGTTTATGGGTGCCTTTAGTAGATAGTACTTTTTTCTGATCCACCCTTCAAGGTTAAAAAAAATAATTTTTTTTTTTAGTTGTTCCACTTTTGTAGTAGTTGTAATGACCATTGTTCTGTTCCCGATATGTCATGCTTCTCTTGAACCACGACTTAACCCTCTCTCACTCAACTATCTATACCGTTGGAGTTGTTTACAATTACATTGTTGTTATCCTGAAGTGCTGAATGGATCACTCGCTTCCTCTAGTGCTGGTCTGATGAAAGTCTCTGTCTATTTTATTTTGTAAACAGATCATAAGAGAATATTGTGAGTTGCTGATGTTTCGGGTGGAATTTCCTCTTTGTTTTGTGTGTAATTGCATTAATATTTTATTTGACACAGTGGTGTGGATGTTGGTGTTGCCAATGGCAATGCCACTTCCGAACTGTGTAATTCTTGTAAAACTTGTTGTGTGATTAGTAGTGAGAAGAGAAACAAACAAGATGTAAGCAGAGTTTTTCTTCTTTTCACCAGTATATGTTATTTAGGAAAATGTGAACGTTTTGCCTTCAATTTGCTAACTTTACTCACTTTTTGGTCTTGTGTGTATCCTTGAATCTAGACTTTTCCTTTATGAACATAAGTACCAACACTCAAATGTGACCTAATCTTACCAAATAGCTAACAAGTTTCACATCCAAGCTATATGTTGGAGTACAAAATAGAATACCGGGTTTAATCTGTTTAATTTCTTTAAAAAGTACAGTTATGGCAGAAAAATGTCTTTGACACTTGCTTTGGAAGATGATGGGGCACTTCTGAGGCATTGTCCAAACTTTTACCCCCATTTTTACGGCACAGGGGTTTTATTAATTTTCGAATCTGAATTCTCTTCTTTCTACCTTTTTTTTGTTTCAAACAGTATGCTCTTCGTTGTTACTACCTGTTATTTTACAAACTATGTAAATTAAGAAAATAGAAACGATATGATTTTGATAAAAAGGGCTTTGTTAGATGTTCAGTTTCTTGGATTGTAAGGGCTGTAAATGCCACCTGAACCATTTGTGCCTAGGCTTGAATGCTGTGTTGTCTATTTCAGCTTGCTGTTTTTCATGAAGACTTTCAAAAGGAACGGGAAGATCGCTCTAAGGCTGAAAGCAAAGTGGAAAAAATGAGGAAAGAGAGAGATTCAGCAAGGATGGAACAGGCAGCGAAAATGAAGAAAATGCAGGTCATGGTATGTTTACATTTTTCCATCCATGTTGATTTTTATCTTTTACAGTGGAAACCCGATATAACAGGGATTGTGGGAGTAGAGAAAAGGTCCTGTTATATCCGATCCCTGTTAAATCAGAAATGCAAGGAAAGTGAGCATTTGTGGACTAATCTAGCTGTACTTATTCATGGGTAGTTTCCCTAGCAACAAGTACCCACGAACATGGGTTTTAGCTCCGACTTTCTCCTTGTGTCCTTAAACAACATCAGAAGAGCTTGGTCCACAGCCTCTTCATTGGGTAGTCTCATCTTCTTTCAATCCAGAGCAAACTTTTCATTGGAGTATGCTGTCACTATCTTTTCTCTATCCTTTTTAATGGAGGGAATCGACCCTTGTGGAATGTCGAACTGACGAGAGATCTCTGCCAGTGGAGCTAGCTTTTTGTCAACAGTCTGGATTATTTCGTATTTTTTGCCAATTGAAAGGCATTTTCTCTTGCTCTTGACATCGTTGGTGACCATAATGAAAGAAGTAGGCTTGGATATAGGCCGACCAGTTGTCCTCTCACTCTCTCTCTCCCTCTCTTACTTTTTACACATTGTTAATAAGCCTTTGTCCCTGCTATAACCGGTTCGGCTCGATGAGGCCCTGTTATTGCCGATAACTTTTAATAGAGACAAAGAGTAGGAAAAAAACGGGGATTTTAAACATCCCTGTTATTACCGGATCCCTGTTATTACCGGGCCTGTTATATTATATATGGTTTCCACTGTAGTTTGTTACTTATCAGGTTTTTGTATTCTTAAAAGTAATTATACTTCTCTTGTATGTGTGTGTGTGTTTGTGCGTGTGTGTGTGTGTGTATGTGAGAATGTGTATGTGCACATATGCGTGCATGCGTGTGTGGTTGCGTTCACTATAGCGTTAAATCTTCACAACATTTGCGACAAAGATTGCCGGGGTTCAAGGCACAACCCCAGAAAGGTCAGAGGTCATTAATTGGACACACAGGACAAAGAAGAGGGATCTGGATTTGGTATTAAATTTCAGCACTCGAAGCACAGCCACAATGTGAACAAGGAAGGAGAATGTGTTTCAACCCATGTGATTATTCAGGAAGAAAAATTCTGGGTGTGCATACGCATGTGTGTGTGTGTATGTGTGTGTGTGTTTGCGTGTGTGCGCATGCACGTGTGTGTGTGTGTGTGTGTGTGTGTGTGTGTGTGTGTGTGTGTGTGTAAGTGTGAGAATGTGTGTATGCTTGTGTGTTTGAGATTGTGAGAGTGTGTTCTTATGATTGTTTTTTCATTAAACAGTACTGCATGCTTGCTATGTGTGTTTTACTTCCTCGTGATAAATGAAGATTAATCTATAAATTTTGTAATAAATTGTATTGGTTAACCTAAAGAAATATATATTTTCTGACAGCTGAATGCAAAGGATGCTGAACTGAAAAACAAAAGTAAACAAGTGGCTGATATGCAGCATCAAATCAATGCCTTGAAGAAAGAGGTAAGACTTACATACAGCTGTATGTTCACCCATTTTTTGACTCAGTTCAGGGGTCCCCAAATGCTGCATATGAACTTTCGTTTTACTGGGCGGGCAACAAAACTTTAAAAAATAATTACATCTTATTTACACTTTTTATTCAATTGAAAGGGAATGATAAGTAGTACATGTACTTGCAAAGTAAAACGTGTCTTTGTAGCGCTCTTGACTGATTTTCTATCTATCAGAAAACCTTATGGTTGAATATTTTGGTAGTAAGTCAGATGGCATAAATTTGATTTGAATGGATCAGTGTACCGAAACTTACATCCTGCCTTGTGAAGATACTGAAACTCATCTTTTACTTTGAGATATTGACATCTTTTCTTTCTTCATAGACCTGGTTATATTATTATTACCTGTGACAGAAATTATTTACCTCCCGTCAATAAAGTGTAGGTAGTTTAGGAGGCGGGCCGCCATTATCCTGATGGTCAGGGCTAACCTTGGCTTTGAGGAATACATTTCAGCAGAAAAATATATATATTTGATAACATTTTCCTAATGTCGGTTTTGTGAGTATAACTTATAATGTTAAGACAAAGATTATGACCATTTCTTCTTATGGGCCAGTTTTGTTACTTTCTTTTTCCTCCTTGTTCAAGTTGTTACTCATTTTTGTGGGTGGTTGGTGGGTGCTCTAGTGTCGTTTGCTCCTTCTTCCCTTTCAAACATCTATCAGCCTTATCTCTCCTCCTTCTTTTTTTGTGTTTGTTACTCTCTTGCAACGCATCTAATCTTCGGCATTTGTATGGTCGTATTGTGTTTCAAGTGCCATAAAACTTTTAGCAATACTAAACGGACATCTTTTTATCAGTAATTTGTTTTGTTGTCAGCTCCACAAGGAGCGTCAGAAGAATGACCACAGGATGACCAAACAGCCGGCCTCAGTTCGGCGACCTCAACATATGCTCTACCCTAGTGGAGGACCCAGGACAGCAGGCATGCAGTCGAGTTCAAGTGAGTTGTCGTAAACAATGTATATAACGATCTCAGTGTGCTGGTACTTTTTTTTGTTTGGTAAAACAACCCGTAAGTTAACCCCTTGTAGGGTGCTCTCGTGGCCTAGAGGTTAAGGTGTTGGCCTCTCATTCAAAGGTCCCGGGTTCGATTCCGGGTAGCGACCAAAAAAATTTTCTTCTCTAAAATTGTCTCCTTTCACATCCTTTCCTGATCTCTAACAATGTTCTGTTGTCTGCTTTCATTTCCACTTTCTGCCCCCACCCCCTCACCTCCTTTGCCCCCACCTCTGGGCTCCTGACTCTTTCTGCAGCCTTTCTACTGCTACTCCTTGGCTCCTCCTAACTGCTGTCTTTCTGCCACACCCCTGATCTTCAGGTAGGAAAGATCTACACCTAGCCTTCTCGGACAAGGGCGAAAAATCTCGGAGGGCCCGTGTGCAGGTTGCGCACGTTAAAGATCCCTTGGTGGTCTAAAATCGATAACAGTAGGCTTTGGCCGCCACCCGGGCAAAATTCAAAATTTCCTACCAACGAAAAAGTATTAGGTGTGTCCCGCGCGCTCATATGACCTTATGCAGTTGCGAGCGCCGTAAAACCCTATACTAAACAAACCACAAACAATAACCCCTTGTATATTCTCTGTGAAAATGTAATTGGCATTTATATGTTATTTATCTCTGGACTTTTACTTTTTAGTAGATTGAGTGTTGTAATTGTGGGGAAATGAAATGCTGCTCTTGGTATAATTTAGAATATTTCTTGTAATAAATTGTTGTTATTGGCGAGTGAATATTTGCTTTGGTTTTTAAGGTCTTTTGTGTGTTAGATGGATTGTTTGTGAGATCGATTATTCATCACATTACCAAAGCTTCTAGTGGGTTTCCCATCATGGATCTGCGTACATTTATTTTTTTTTCATTGTCGAGTGTTTGCTATTGATATTGGCCGTGTATTAGCCAGTAGAGAAAGGGATTTGAACAATAGAAACAACATATATATATATATATATATATATATAAAAAAGTCGAAGGAGCAGCCTGCTCTTGAGTGCTCACAACCCACATTTAATTGCTGTGATGTGTTGAAAGAAGTCATTGGTCTACATTTGTTTTCACAGAAGATGAAAGTATTCGACAATACCCATACCTTGCGGTGGCGAATCAGCAGCCACTGATGCCGGTCTCGCCCGAACACTTGCCGAACGCCTGGCAGTGCCGAGAGTGCACGTTTATCAATTTTCCGGAAAGGACTATCTGTGATATTTGTGGGTGGCAGAATGATATGGGTATGTGTGTATGACATTTACAGTGTCAGTGTACTTTTCCTTCTTTGTTGACTCTAGCTATGTTCAATTTGGGTCGACTGATTTTTTCACTTACTGTGCTCCGATTCTTAGATATTTCTTGTCATCTAAAAATGCAGAGTGTAATTGATTTAATTTCCTGAAGTCTTTCTCATGGATGAATGATTATTTTCCAGTTTGTACATTGGCCATTTCTTTCACGAAATCTGGGTTTTCAGGTAAAGTTTATTTTTTTGGTTTATATTTCAGTTTAGTAAGATTCATTACATTTGTAATACTTACAAATTTCCATGCAAAGTTCTTGTTTTTTTAAAGTTTAGCTTCATTCATTATATAATCTATGTTTCCTCCTACTATGACACGAAGAACTTAATAACCCCCCCCCCAGCAACAAAGGGCTTAGTTGGAATGGCAGGTGAAGGAAGAAATAAAGCCCCATCACCAGGAAGAGTTCAGGACGTCCCCTTATGCAGTCTGACCACACACGCACCAAATTTCTCAAACATTTTTTTATTCGCTAAAAAGCACAAAGAAATGTCTCTTACACAAGGTGGCATCATTTAGAGTTATGCTAAAGCTTTGGAAAAAATCACACCGTAAGAAGAGCATAGAATATATATAAAAAGCTCTTTTTTTTCATCTGTCTTTTGAAATTAACCTGTTGGCACTTGTATGGTTAGACTACGGCAGAGATGAGATGCAATAACGGATGGCAGCAGAATAATTTGTTTATTTCTGTGTTTACTTCCTCAGGTGAACTAATGAATGGTGGTTTGGACAGTGTGACAGGAACTCCTGTAAGTGGTTTAAAAAAAAATTATACATACAGTTTAGCACTCGTTAGAGAAATCAGCGGGTGCAGAAATCTTTTCGCTATGCATGGATTTCACTGTGAACCTGTTTTAAATATGAAGAATATCATGTGCATAAGAAAAAAATTATCAATTTGAAAATATTTTCTTTGTGGGTATTTTCTATGTACGTGCTAGAGCTGACTGACATTTTTATAGGTCTTTGCTTTCATGCTTGGTTATGTCAGTGTTTATTAAAGCTTTTTGAAGCTTAGTTAACTGTCAGCTATCACTTATTCTTGTATGAGTGCTTGTGAAATGTAGGCACTGCCCGTGGCATTCTGAAAAACCATCCCTCTTCATGGTTAAGGTGAATTAAGTGATACACAAGCTGAAAGTTAGCCTTGAAAGAAGTAAGGAAAGCTGTTTCTGCTAGTGTGAAAGATATTCCCTCTGACACCTTATCTAGGAATTTGCTTTCATGACTCACATTTCATGATGTAAATGCCTTCAGACCTGGATATTTTAAAGTTTGCTTTTGAGATGTAGTGAAATGGCAATGTCCGGTTTACATTTTGTACATTCTTTCATTAAAAAAATTTTTGATTTTGTTTATTTATTTTTACACACAGGAGCTGAAATCTCGTGGAGAGTTTGCGTTTGAGCCACTCACAGATGAACCGGACGTGGTGACAGATACAGAGAGCACTGACTAGCCAGAAACGTGTTGGACAGCAGCAAGCTCCCAGTGACTTGCTCAGGACTAATCAGACCATTACTGCGAGTAGTGGATATCGCACATGATGTGACACCAAACAGAAGTTCCATACCAGAAATGACTAACCAAATGACTAACTTGTTCATTATGACCAATGAATAAAGAGTGTATGACAAATCATGATGAAACACTGGCATTTCATGAGATGGTGGCTGAAGAAACATAAGGAGGTGAAAAGCGTCTAGTGCTTTGCAAGAACTTCTCAACTCACAAGCCACAAATAAGTTTGAGAGGATGTGCCAATGACCTCTTACTACAACATGCAAAATGAATGCCAGTTTGAGATGAAGACAGTTCAATAATAAGATACTCATGTCTTGATGAAGAGTAATGTGACTTTACAATCACTGAAGACCTTCTGATGGTGTGTGGAGAATATATTGTCGCTGTCACAGGGACAATGAGCAACCTCCGTCATCTGGTAAACTAAGTGGAACTGGAGTCCCTTCAAGTACGCCTACTTGTTTTTCATCCGGCAGTGACATGTCACAGTACCTTGCTGAACAGTGGCAAGACAGCACAAGTTGCCTATCATGTGTTGAGGGAATCGAACATAAGAGTATTGAAGACTTCAAAGACCATTACGCTCACAGATCGCAAATTACTGAGAACAAGGCAGTTGTACGTCTCTGATGATTGACTGAGGATTCAGTTTCTCACTTGGTGATTGCAAGTTGGTGAAGACTTAATGAAAACTAAAGATACAATTTTCAACCAGGGATGACTTTCAGAAGAGCAGGGATGGACCTGATGAAATATAGACCAGCTGTTATGGTTAAAGCAGATCCTGCCTCATACTGTTGTTTTTGTAGTAGTAGTAATAGTATTGTTTTTGTAGTAGTAGTAATAGTATTTGTTGTTGTTGTTGCTGTTGTTTTCGTAGTTGTTGTTGGTGATGGTGGTGGTGGTGGTGATGGTGAACCGTAGTAAGTGGAGAACAAAATGAATACTGTATTGCTTCAGGGACAAAGACCCTTCCCCACATATATATATTAACATGTGGAAGACTGCCATTGGAAATGCCATAAATGAAAAGTACAAGTGGAAAATGGCTTTAGTCACAATTTCCGTTTTTTAAAATTTGCCTGTTTCGATTTTCTCCATTTATACCATTTTTATTAAAAAAAACCCTGCTGTTGTCACATGCTAATGACTTATATCTAAAACTGTTGCACATGGAGGGTGCAGCAGTAGTCCAAATAAGCATGTGAAAGAAAGACAGTAGCTTTCAACATTTTTCCTGTAACTAATGCTGTTTTTTTTCCCTTGAGATCTTCAAATGTATGTGAATATTAAAATTGAATTCTTGTGGGGTTTGTTCGCTTTCACTGCATGATGGGAGCATATAAAAAATGGCATATTTCCTTATTTTTGAGTCTACTGTCTTATGCAACAGTAGTGCCTCTTTTTCAATGCTTCCTACCAATCTGAAAGTTAGCTAGGCTCCCTTTGGATTATGATGTAGTCACTGCTTGTCCCAGCATTGTGACAGTGGAAGACACACCGAGTCTGTGTCTTATAAATGAAGACGAACTTTTAGACCCATAAATGCTTCAATAATTTTTGTATTTCTTTCTGATTTGACCAAAACTGGCATTCCAGGATGCTGGAATTCCTATTTGTTTCATGGCAACTGCATTTTTAAGAATATGAGTTGCTAGTCAGAAATGTTTCGTATTTTTGTTGAGCTTGACAGGGGTGACTCTTAAAAGAAATAGTTTTTGCCTTCAGTGAGCTCTAAATTCTATTCTTTGAAACTGAAATGGAGGGTTGTATATGTTTTCTTTTATGTGCTTGTGTACTTATTCTACACGGTAGTGAAAGTCCATGTCAACAACAAAACAAAAACAAGCTGCTGAAAGATACTCATTGTCCTTCGGGAAATTGATTTTGGGACTCTGCGCAGGCGTGGAAAGAAAAAAATCTGTGGATTCTCAATATCCTCATTGAAATTGTTCTTCAAAAATATTTTTCTCATTCAAAATACCCCATGTATCAGTATCATTGGTACATGTATTCTAGTTAGTCCTAGCTTACTTGCTGTCTCCATTATTATTGAATGCTATTTAAGTTATAATTATACTGTAGT